ACCAGTTCAACCGGTTTAATTCAATTCAAAAGACTTTATCCATCCCTGTGGGGCATATTTAATACAAGCCTTTGCAACAAGCCTTAAAATGAAATTGCATATATTATAATTATAATCGAGAATAACAAAGTGGTATTAAAAAGACCACTGAAACTATAATAATGTCTGGTCATTATTGACAGTATTAATGTATTAATAAATATTTTCAAACTTCTTGTATCTTTTTTTTCAGTCATTTGTTTTCTCTGGTTATCATAACCTTCGCTTTCTTATTAACTATTTATGACACAGTGTTTCAGATGTCAATACCTTTGCGAAAAATGACTTCAAACCATAGTCATTTTAAAGATTGTGGTTTGTGAACAATTTCACAGCTTTTATTTAAACAATATCTAGGACCTGGTTGCATTTTTAGGAACCTTAGTTTGAATTAAGTGGATCCCAGGTGTAAGCTAGTTCATAACGCAAGAAGGCATTATGCTACATTTTTCATGCATCAGTCGAAGTTTTCTGGAATTTCTAAATATATAAAAAATGTAACATAATATAACACACCACAATGGCCAACTGATTTTTTTGTTTTAAAGAAAATCAAAAATAAGAAAAAAGAATGCGTCCTTGCCTAAAATAGAAATTGTCTGACTTTAAAAGCTATAAAACGTTTTAGATAGTTAAACACTTTTTATGCTTGAAAAAATGGTGATTTTTCTTCCTCATTATCAGCTTCAAATCTTTGTGTAAGCTGTAAGTTTTTTTTTTAACTTTTTAATCAAAAGTTTAAAACGCTTTAATTTTGTAAATGCAATACGTATTTCATACAGAAAAAATCCCATTCCCCAATCTTCCTGTGGTGTAAAGCAGATCAGCAGGTCTTTTAGTAATAACATGAATGAATGAACCTCAAGACCAGCTCCAGTATACTTGGAAAGAGCACAGGAGGGATTAATTTGTGCCAGCCACCTAGTGCATTATCACCTTGCAGTTAGGTGGAAGGGAAACTGGATGTGGGCTTTAATTTCATCAGTACACATTCCCAATAGTCACTGATGCAGCTTTAAGTAATTCCTGGTTTTAAGAAAATAATGTGATTTTTTTATGTATACGTTTCATGTTGTGTTGGCAAAATTATTTTAACTTAGTGTTCACAAAGATTCTAAGATGATCATGAGGAAGAAAAATCACCTTCTTTTTGAACATAATAAGTGACATTTAACTATCTAAAAACATTTTTTATAGCTTTTAAAGTCATGCAATATTTTAGTTAGTCAGGGAAATGTCATTGTTTCTTTTTGATTTTCTTTATAAAATGTTTAAAAAATCAGCTTCCCACTTTCACCTTTCCGTAACTATAGTGGGGATGAAGCATTTTTATGGGTAATTTTGGTGTCCATTGTGGCTTTCTGTTTAGAGGATTTTACTCTGCACCCGACTTTGGAGCAGTTGGAGAAAGGCAGATGTTATATGGTTTTAGTCTCTCAATTTACTGGGAATGTATCAGATGTTAAATTGAGGAAGAGAGACAACACACACCCCTTGGACAACAAAGGTGATAATGGGGATACAAATCAATTTAAAAGGGTGCAGCATGTTAACACACTCTGCCAAGAGAACCGCTTGTAAGAGCAAGGTGACTTTCTGCTCAATTTAATGAAAGTATAGTCAGACAGATTTTAAGTTCAACAGATTTAAGGCAACATTAGCCTTTTGTCAAATTCATCTAATTTGTGCAGTACAGGACCTCTGAAAAGGTACCTTTTTCTCTCGTGCAAACTCATAAAAGGTTTATTTATAAATTCGAAACCTTGGATGGTATGCCTCAGGAACTCATTCATAGTATGATCAAAACAACCCGCCACCTTTCCCTTGCTGGGTCTTGTCTTCCGCTGTTCCACACACGCCAATCCCATGAAGTCAAACCCACAGATATACCGAAACTGTAGCGTACATGGCAATTAATGGCAGTGTGATATCATTGCTAAAATTTGTATTAAGACAAATATAAAGATTTTCTTAATGCGGATGTAAACCTGAAAGGGGCACATCGCATTCACAAGAAGCTATAGTAATAAACTATTTTATACAATAATAGGGCCAAAAGGATCGCTCTAAAGGTTAATTCTAAGCTGACAAGACTCAACATATCTTCTTTATAACTCCTCAGCTTACAGCTCGTTCATGGTCATTCATTATTAATATTATTAATATTTTCTGTATTTTCTGATTTTATGATGTGGATTAAACTTGCAGAGGCCTGTGGCATTCCCTTTTGATAGAGGTCAAAGCTATTATTTTTCTTTATGAAAATACTTTAAACATATATCCTGTGTAGAGTATCAGTATTAGAGCAATTACTGAAAACCCATTAAAGCCCTTAACATTCTGCACCTCTGTAGCCTGACCATTGATGTGGTGAGAGTGCTCCACTGCATACATAGTCCACCAGAGTTATGTTTTATTTTTTTTTACATTTAGTTGTTGGTTGTTTAGGCTGCACCTTTCAACTAATTCAGCTACTTCAATTCTATATACAAATTATGTGTGTACAGAGAGTAAAGCAGAGGTGATAAGCCACAACCCTGAGGAGCTCCTGTGCTTCACCACCTGCTTCCTATCGGAAAGGAAGTCCAGTAGCCAATAACACAGTCTGATTTATGCCCATCTCTGCTAGCTTATCAAAAAGCTTGAGAAGGATAATTGTTTTAAAGCATGTCTGTAGCTAATAAAGAGGAACCGGGTGTAAGTGCTGGGTACTTCTAGATGTTGAAATAGATCATGGATCCCAAAGCAGATGTATTTTTCCATTGACATGTTTGCTCTAGGCAAACTGGCATGGGTTGAAGTGCATATTTGATAGGAAATTGGCTGAGTCACTCAATTGCCTTTACGGATGGCAAGGCCTGTAGTTGTTGAAGCAGCTCGCCATGGATTTCTTAGCTACTGGTGTTATGGTAGCCATCTTAAAGCTGTCCAGTACCTTAATTGAAAATATCTGTAAAAATATGAGTAAGTTGATTGTCACAATTTTAGTGTAGCTGTTGATACAAAGTTGGACCCAGATGTTTTTCTGCTGTTCTGTTTGTGGAAAAAACATCTTATGTCATGCTGCTGAATGATAAATGGTGGCTAAAGGGATACCACGGGCTGTCTGGGTGCAGGCCACTGCATTTTTTGTGTAAAGCCTACAGTAGAATTCATTCAGATTTTCTGCAAGAAAGTGATCATCAACTGGAGAATTTTGTCACCTACTAGTTAGTGATTAGTTGAAGGCATTACCAGCAACCTCAGGTGTCCTTGATAGTTTGTTTTTGTATTCAGCTTTGGCCATCTTTACTGCATGTTGGAATTTATATTCACTAGTTTTCAAGATGGCATCATCTACTTCTTTGAAAGCCCAGTTTTTCTTTTCCCACAGGGTTTTAATTTGCCGGTGGAACTAGGGCTTATTTTTGTACACAGTGACCAATTTGCAAGAAATGCATAGACTCTCGCAAACGTGAATATACAATGTCATTGTATCGGTGAGCTCATTAAGATCATGTCAGTGATTGAGATTCAGTACCCTTACGTGTAGATGCATTATATCCAGTCTGTTATACTTATTTACATACAAAAAACTTGGTAAACAAAAACAAAAACAATAACAAAACACTGTCTTCCAGATTGGAACCATCATTATTTATCTTTGTCTTGGCACATCCTTTTTTCATGTTTGATATTACTGCGTGCATATAATACTCTGTCACTAAGTGATATCTGCCAGGTTTCTGTCCTGTATTGAATTGACAATTCATTTACAGCTAGACAGTTGAAATAAATTTTTGTTAATTGTTGTTGAGGTTTGTTAATTCCTTGTAATTCTATTTCTCCTTTCCTTAATTGCAGTCAGGCACTGGATATTTAAATGCTTCTGGTAATTATAAAACGGCAGAATTGTTATACTGTTTCATAAGGAGCTTTTAATATGGAACTTAAGTAAAAACTTGTATTACTTGTGGTAGACTACACTGCAGTATTCCATTATTTAGTTTTTACATGTGCTTGCTGTTCAATATATATCCACTCGTAACAGTTTCATGTAAACCGAATCCTATTCAAATTGAAAGCTACCTTTCTGATCCATTGAGTGAATACATATAGAGAATTAACATTCATGATATTGCAGCAGTCCTCAGTTATTTGACCTACCTGTGCCTGCCAGTGAGGAAGGAGGGAGAGGAAAGCAGAATTGCAGACTTGCAGGTTTTTTTGTCCTTTAATGGTAAACAGGTCTGTGCTAAGTGGGGTAGAGGGCAGAGAGAATGTAGCAACAGCCATGAGGTTTCTGCTGACTTTTTATATTGTATGACTAATCAGAGTAATTCACCAGAAAACCCTTTTGATCATTTTAATCTGTCTGTAAGCTTACCTACAGCCATGTAAATCCATCAGATGAAACTCAGGTTTTAAACTTTGACTCCCCTCCAACTATTATTGAATCATTACTGATTACATATCTTTCTGCTTCTTTTAAGTCTGCTTTTTTTAAGTTAACACTTGAATTGAACAATTTCAGAAATACTTCCTTGTATTGCATGTTTCCTAATGGGTCTTTCATTTTTCTTTAAATTGTTTAAAAAGACAATTTACTCTCTAGCAAACAGTTTGATAAACTTAGTAAGGAAGCATCCAGTTGTGTACCGTTTCAGTTTATGGTGCTATTAATATTTACCAGTCTATTTAAGGAAGGTTTTACACATGTCACGTTTTTATTCCTTAATTTTTATTTGTAATATCTGAATTAGGGCATGTCTAACATACTCCTGATAATCTTTTGAATATTTGTTTTATAAATCTGACCTTCATAGATTCTCAGCAACTACCTTCATTAATCATTTTCCTGTGCCTTTTTTATTACACATTTTCTTACATCTTACTCCGTGGGACAGTGTATCCATTGATATTGTATTCTTAACTCGTTCTAATTCTTAAGTTCCATGAGACATTTGATTTCTTTTATCCAGGTATTTTGGCTAGAAACACCTCTTCTGACAACTCTGATATGGATAACCTAGGTTTCAACCTTGTGAGGTAAGAGAAGTGAAAGTTAAGTTTGCTAAATAAAAATATTTCCTTCAGACTTGGGCTTGCATAATTTGTTTTTTAAAACTTTAAAAGAATGTTTTCTGAGGTTTAATTCTATAATGTCTTCAAGAGTGTCAAATTGATTGCAATACATTTAGATCAGGAGGTTGATCATGCACATTCAAGTTAAACAGTGAAAAATGTTGTCCTCAAATTAAACACTAATTACATGTGCATAGCCACTTACAGCAGCAAGAAAAATGATTGGTTGCATGGTTGGGTGTGTGTGTCACAAGTTCATGAGGTTTATTGTAATTGATTGTGAATGAACCACATAAACTGGAATTTCACATGAGAAGCATTATAGTTTATTAATGGAACAAGACTTCATTTGTCGATACACTAAAACAAATTCCTAAAACACTAAAATAATTCCCGTGTTCCGTTAACACATTTTTAATGGATTCCACTTGGCTAACCTACAGTGGATATAAAAAGTCTGCACACCCTTATTGAAATTGCAGGTTTTTGTGATGTAAAGCCAAAAATCAAAATAATGTCAGACATTTTTCCATATTTAATGTGACCTTGCAACCAACAAAATTCAAGGGAAAAACAAATAATTATAAGGAAAAATGAATTTAAAAACTCACAACACCCTGGTTGCATAAGTGTGCACCTATCCCCCCAACTAATACTTTCTGGGAGCACCTTTTGCATTTATTACAGCAGTAAGTCTTTGTGAATAAGTCTCTATCAACTTTGCACACCTGGACTTTACATTTTTCTCCCACTCTTCCTTGCAAAAAAATTAAAGCTCCTTCAAGTTACCAGGGGATCTCCAGTGCACAGTCCTCTTTAGGTCATTCCATAGGTTTCCTGTGGGATTGAGGTCTGGGCTCTGATTGGGCCATTCCAAGACTTTGATCTCCCTTTTCTGAAGCCATTCCTTGGTTGACTTGGATGTGTGCTTTGGGTCGTTATCATGTTGGACGTTGAAATTCCTCTTCAACTTCAGCTTTTTGACAGAGGCCAGCAGGTTTTGTGCCAAAATATCTTGATTTTTGGTGCTAGTCATTACCCCATCTATCTTGACTAGAGCCCCTGTCCCAACTGAAGAGAAGCAGCCTCAAAGCATGATGCTGCCACTACCATGCTTCACAGTAGGTATGGTGTTCTTTGAATGATCAGCTGTATTGTCTTTGCACGAAACATATCTTTTAGAATTAAGGCCAAAAAGTTCAATCTTTGTCTCATCAGACCGTAAGACATTTTCCCACATGGTTTGGGGTGATTGAATGTATTTTTTTGCTAAATTTAGATGGGTTTGGATGTTTTTTTGTGAGAAATGCCTCCCGTCTTGCCACCTTACCCCATAGCCCAGACGTACAGATTAATGGGAGATTTTTGTTACGTGCAAGAAGTGACCAGTACCTGACACAAATTCCTGCAGCTCCTTTAATGTTGCTGTAGGCCTCTTTGTAGCCTCCCCGATAAGTTTCATCTTGTCCCGTCATAAACTTTGGAGGGTTGTCCTGATCTTATCAATGTCCCTGTGGTGCCATATTTTCTCCATTTATTGGTGATAGTCTTCACAGTGCTCCAGGGTGCGTCCAATGCCTTAGATATTCTTTTATACCCCTTTACTGATCGGTACCTTTCATTGTGCTGAAACAATATGCATGTTCGACCACTTTTGGCATTGCTCCCTATTTTACATTGCTGCTTGTTGGAGAAGTGTTACGACGAGCGGGATATGCCCTGCATTTTGATGAGACTTAATCACGCACTGCAACTCATGCAAATGGATTTACATGTGAAGATTTGGAATGGTGGAGAAGTGAAAACTAGATACGTAGGCTAGGAGTTTATGGGGTATGCAGTGCTCATGACATTATGGAAAAGATGCACAACACACTCTCGGAGGGTGGACTAAAAAATCCATTGAGACTGATCTGATTCCCAAATGACACCTTTCAATATTAATATTTCATGTTCAGTTTGTCAAGATATTAAGATATTGAGATACTTGAAGTTATTCAGATAGACAACAGTTTGTGTTTACGCAGTGAAGCATTTCAGGAATGAAAAAGACCATATATTTTCCTAGCCTATGTGGGCTTACTGATGAGGAATGTGGCTAATGTTCTAGGAGTAAACATGCTGTTCAGGTAAAAGAAAAGTGTGCCATGCAAGAATGTATTTCAAATGAAAGTATTCCTCTAACCAAGCTCTAGCACACCTGAAAAGAGACTAATCATTACATCACCTAGCACTTAGTGGAAAAATATGGAGGACAGCGGCCCAATGAATGAATTAAATACCATTGCTCTAAATCCTACAAATTGTTGTAGCAGTTGTAAAGCCAACTTATGAAAGTGCAGAAATATAGTCATGGAAATTTGGCTAGAAGTTATGGAAAAGTCATGGAATTTTGTTGGTAAAAATGAGTGGGAAACCTGTTCCTAATTGGTTGCTGCTGGAAGAGGTGTTAGTGGGGCCAGCAAGGGGCGCTCACACTGTGGTCCTGACTCTCTGTGGTCATTAAAAATCCCAGGGTGCTTCTCGAAAAGAGTAGGGGTGTAACCCCGGCGTCCTGGCCAAATTTCCCATTGGCCCTTACCAATCATGGTGTGTGGTGAGCATTCAGGCGCACTATGGCTGCTGTCACATCATCCAGGTGGATGCTGCACATTGGTGGTGGAGGGGAGTCCCCACTACCTGTGAAGCGCATTGAGTGGAGTGTCCAGAAAAACGCTATATAAGTGTAAGCAATTATTAATTATTATCTATTTGTTTTTCTCTAGAATTTTGTTGGTAACAAGGTCACATTAAACATGGAAAAATGTCTAACATGATTTATCTTGATTTCTGGCTTTACATCACAGAAACCTGCAGTTTCAATAAGGATATGTAGACCTTTTATATCTACTGTACTTTAGGGTTTTAAGATTAACAATAGTATTGGAATATCTATGTTTAACTTTTGCAGTTTTCCTCAGGTTTTCAGTCTTTTCCATACTTTGTTTTTCCTAATTCACAAAAGTAGTGACTCTTCAGATAACTATTTTTTTTTTCTGTTTAGGGTTGTTGTGTGTAACTTGTATCCATTTGTGAAGGCCATCTCTTCCCCCACTATCACTATGGAAGAGGCTGTGGAACAGATTGATATTGGTAAGATTATGATAAGCAGTAGATTGAAGCATGCATTTCTTGTAGAAAGAGCCATTTATTGTCTTGCTAGGACATCAGACTGTGCCATGGATAATGTGATTATATATTAATTCCTTACATTTGTATAGCACTTCCAAGCCTAAAGGAACTCAACCTTCTTTTAACATGGGAAGTGAGTATTCATTCCCCTTGGATTTTTTACACTTTATATTGCAAACCCAAATAGAAATACATCCACAGATGCAGCAATCTCGAATGCTCAGGGTGTCAGTCGGTATACCACAGTATATTTTTTCTCATGCAGGACTATTACTAATTCTGTATAAATAGTAATTGGGAAAACAATTTAGATTTTGATTATTAAATGTGTACGTAATGGCTTTAAAAACATCATATTTAAAAGCAGTGCCTGATGTAACACCCCAAGGCCTCTAGGTGTAACAATACGATTTAAGTTGTGTACTGAGTATACCTTTGCATATTTGTGTTCCTACTCAAGACTGGAAGGGCTAAGGGTGTTACATTTGTAAGTTTGTGTTTCAGAAGGATGTTCACAAGTGCCCCCAATGCGCCGTTAATGTGCCCTTCTCTGAAGTCTGCATCAGAGTGGACTTCACAGTGAAGGGAATTATGCCCAATAACTTGTTGAATGTTGACGTTTCATGTTTAGCTTATCAAAGCTGAGAAAAGTTGCCATGGAGAATAAAATATTCACGTTAGTACTTTTTTACACTTTTAAGACTCATTTTATCTAAAAGCAATTTCATTAGGTTTCTTTAGATTCATAGTGTTTGTATTGTAGGTATGAAGTTTTGACAAAGCTTTTATTTCATGTATTGCCAAGTTTACCTTATTTAGTTTGTTTTGAATGTGAATAAATGAGTTATGTTCCAAGTACTGTCAATTTTGTACTGGGACAGACTGTATGAAATGCATTAAGTAGTACAAAGCTTTGAAGAAGCACAGAGTGGCATCATCAGGTTTTCCTTAGTTTACCTGTTTTGAGTCGAGCCAGCTCAACACAAACGAACACAGTGTCACTACTTTTGTGCAGGGATAGATGTAATGAAGTTTAATTTAATCAAACTGCGAGTGGAGACTGAAAAAAATATTTAAAAAAAATTGTCGACATGCACTTAGCCACTGGAAAAGAAGCCTCAACAACAGAAAGCATTTTGACCCTGAGCCTTGTAACCAGCAGATGATAGCATGTAAGGGTGTCCCATTATCCTTTTTATGATGTACACTTAAATACTCGTGCACTTGAAGTCCACACTTGTGCTATGTCACAGAAGGATTTGGAGAAAGGGTTAAGGGCAACAACTGGGACATGGTCTTTGAGTAAGGGTACTTTGTACCAACTGTTGGTAAAGTTTAGAAGCGGGAGCAGGGAAATGAATGCCTATGCTCTCGCCTCGTTAAATCATGCGATATATCGTGGATATTCTCTTCACCCAATTTGTTAAATAAGAAATCATAAAACATTGTGGTTCTACAGTTTTCTCACAAGTCACATTTAAAATTAGACGTGCAAAATACATTTGAAGAAAAACTAATTTTTAGTTGCAAATAAAACACTGAAGCATCTTTTTCTGATAAGTATTGTTGAATTGGAAACTTAACTCAAGTTCGGTCAGAGAAAGGAGTCCTTATTGTGTACACAAGGTGCAAACACTTAGCGGGATAGCAAATTAAGCTCAAATTGCATTGAGTCTTTCATTCTCACCAGTGTTGCTAAGCAACAGAGTGGTCAGCAGAAGTACAAGTACCAGAAAAAAAGGAAAACGGGGTAAAGTAGTACTCCCAGAACCTTGAGGACTGTATGACTACTGAACTGGAAGCATTGTAGCTCGCTAGAACCTTTTTAACTCTTTATTACATCAGTATTTACCTCCTTTGCTATCACAATTCATTTTGAACCTAGATGTATCTAATTTTCTTGATCACTCTAAACTTGAATGGAGTCCATCTGTGGTCAATTCAGACCCCTACACTTTTTCCATACTTTGTTGTGTTGTAGACTTATTTCAGAATGGATTGAATTGATTCTTTTTTGCCCTCAATCGACACACAATACTTCATAATGACAAAGTGAAAACACGTTTTTAGGAATTTCTGCAAATTAAGGGCTTTGGCTGGGCCACTCAAGGGCATTCAGAGATTTGCTATAAAGCCACTCCAACATTATCTTGGCTGTGTGCTTCGGATCATTGTCATGCTGAAAGGTGAATCATTGTCCTAGTCCAAGGTTGTGTGTGCTCTGGAGCAGGTTTTCTTCAAGGACCTCTATGTATTTGGCTATGTTCATCTTTCCCTCAGTCCTAACCGTTTTACCAGTCCCTGCCACTGAGAAGCATCCCTACAGCATAATGCTGCCACGACCATGCTTCACAGTAGGGATGGTATTAGTCAGATGATGGATGACATGGCGTTTGGCATTCAGGCCAAAGAGTTCAATTTTTGTCTCATCAGACCAGAGAATCATTTTCCTCATGCTCTCAGATTCCTTTAAGTGCCATTTGGCTAACTCCAGGCGGGCTGTCATATGCCCTTTACTCAGGAGCTTCTGTCTAGCCACTCTAACATTGAGACCTGATTGATGTAGTCCTTCCAGCAGGTTCTCCCATCTTTACAAAGGAACTCTGAAGCTCTGTTAGAGTGGCAATTGGGTTCTTGGTCACCACCCTGACCAAGGCCCTTCTTGCACGAATACCCAATTTGGCCAGGCGGCCAACTCTAGGAAGTCTTGGTGGTTCCAAGCTTCCATTTGACAATGATGGAGGCCACTGTGCTCCTGTGAACCTTCAATGCATTGCCAATTTTTTTTCGTCCTTTTCCAGGTCTATGAACTGACACAATCCTATCTCGAATGTCTGCGGAGAGTTTCTTGGACTTTATGGCTTGTTTTGTACTCTGCCCTGCATTGTGAACTGTGGGACCTTATAAAGACAGGTTCTAAATCATGTCCAATCAAGTGAATTTGCCACAGGTGGACTACAGTCAAGTTCTAGAGACAGATATGAGAAAATGTTAAATGAGATTTAAAAAGACTTCAAGTTAAAAGATGTTAAATTTTAAAGGCAGACGGACACGCTCAATGTAAACCTGCATTACGGTTTTGATGTATTGCTCCCCTCCTCTAATTAAAAATGTTTAATTAAAAAGTTAAAAATACATCAAAATAGTGCATTAGATGTTAGTGAAACGATTGCTTCATTTAATCTCTCTCCTGTGCATGTTTAAATCTGCTTAATATGGAATATTAATATGGAATTTTTCTATTAAACTGATTTTTTGGTATCTTAGTAGAAAAATAACAGGAGCATAACATCTCTCTATCATAAACGGTATTAATTTAGGAATATAAATATATTATACATACTGTATATGGATGGTAATGGTAGCTAAAATGTAAAAAATACACACCAGTATTCCACTTTCTTTATACACATTTTGTGAATCGGTTGGTCACCTACTATGGTTATTTTGGAAAAGTTTTGACATGCTTGTTCTGACTACATTAAGTTTATATACTTTATAAAAAGCTAGAATGTTTTAACCTTTTCTATGAATACTCGCTGTCGTTATTGCAGTAAAAAACGTGTGCTTTTTAGAATCCGTAATTAGGTAATATAATATGGAATTGTGTAGTTAAAGAAATTAATAATATTAATTTAAGGATTTAATTATATTTATATAGCTCATTGTATTTTCGTATTCCACTTTTTGTTAACATTTCCATCAATTTTTTCACTCATTCACTTGTGATTGCTTTGGAAAGATTTTGACTTACAGTATCTCTTTCGGCAATGTTTCTATGCAGCGCTTGGGTACAATGGATTTGGTGTATGAATATTAACCAGAAGGTCCGGGTTGGATTTCTGCTTAGGGTGCAAGTTTTTCTTCTAAGAAACAGATTCCTGTTTTAAAAATATAAATATATTCAAAAAGTGTACATTTAATATTTTATATCACAACATGTTCAATGTTAAGTGATATTAAAAACATAAATGAGCAAACATGAATGTTGTCAGCAGTGAGGTTAAAACCCAGTTCAACCAGTTTAAATCAATTTAGTTAAAAATACTTTTTCATCTCCATAGACCAATTTAACACAAGTCTTTACAACAAGCATTAAAACGAGATTGTGTATATATATGTATTATAATTATAATCAATAACAAAATGGTATTTAAAAGCTCACTGAAACTTAACTATAATAATGTATCTGATCATATTAATATTATTTTCTTAAGTTTCTAACTGCTTGTATTTTGTTCAGGGTCATTTGTTTTCTCTGGTTTTCATAACCTTTGCTTTCTTGTAACACATTTATGAATCACGATGCTTCAGATGTCAATAACTTTGCAAAAAATGACATGGAGCCTTCAAATCACAGGCATTTTAAAGAGTGTGATTTGCGAAAATTTTCACTGGTTTTATTTTTAATAATATGGTCAGGTTACTAGAGCTGTTACATCCTCTATAACCTCACCATATAAAGCAGAATAACAAACTCATTGGGTTCAACCTCTCTTTAATTTGAGAAACTTTCTGTATCTTCAGTTTTTCAGATACATTTTTGATAGGAGGAAAGATTTAATGTGATCAATCGCTTTTTCACCACAGCATGCATTATGCTACATTTTTACACATCAGTCATTTTAAGCATTCTAAAGTCTCTAGAAAACATAAAAAATATAACACTGTACAGCACAATGGGAAACTGGTTCTTTCATTTTATAAAGAAAATAAAAAATAAGAAAATGACGTGTTCCTGCCTAACTTAGACATTGCGTGACTTACAGTATGTTAAAGGCTTTACATGCATGAAAAACAGGTGATTTTTCTTCCTCTTCTTCCTCGTGATCAGCTTAGAATCTGTGTCAACTGTAAGTTTTTTTACTTTTAATTAAACAATTTCATTTGGTAAACACAACACCAGTTTCGTGCAGAAAAAATCACTTTATTTCTTCCTGTGGTGTGAAGAAAATCGGCAG